CTACCCCTCATTTACTCTTTGGATTCAGTCTGCTTCTCAGCCTCTGTTTCCGTGTGCTCGCCCACCTCATTCCTGCACTCTACTTTGGATCTGCTCATTGTGGTTTTCTATTCACTCTTACCTACTGTCAAGCCTTCATCAAGCTTGAGAAATGCTCTTGGCCTCTGCCTATGCCTCCACCTAGACTGGCTGAGGGGAAATGTGGGCCAGAAGTGAATGCTGTAGAGTTAAAAAACTCCATGGATAATTTAGACATTCCTATTCCAAAGGACAAACAATCTTTAATTATGGAACATGAAACTATGCTTAAAATAGGGTACATTAAGCTATTTACTGCCTCTAAATAAAATATTAGAGCTTTAAAATAAACAATTTCTAGAACTCAATGCAAATACAACCAGGATTCTTAATGGAATGAGTTTCTTCATTTTATTAAAACTTTCAGCAGCTTTCTATGGTCTGTGAGAAAAAATATAGTTGCTGCCACTGGGCAAGGTCTGCTTCTCAGTCTACCTCATCATACTGACCTCCATGCCCGTGACCCTTGTTGTGGCTAAAACAAATTTTTCTCAGTTTCTAAAATGCTTAAATATTTTCTGCTACTACACTCCTAGTTTTCATCTCTTTCTACATGGAAAAACGTCTTACTTTCCTCCTGCTAAACCTGGATCACCACGCTTCCATTTTATCTGCTTGACTACCACTTTGCTTTTCATAACCCAGATCAAAGCTTTGCTCCCAATCCTGCCCACATTCCCAAGCAGAAATGAACAGGACTGGTACAAAAACACTAATGATACACAGTCTGCAGCTTGCTGTATAGATAACAATGCTTAGATTGACCACTAAAGATGGGTTCAGTTTTACACACTTTTTTTTATTTTAGGGAAGGGTCTACAGGGTCTACACGGTCTCACTGCTAGATTCGACTCATAGTCATTCTCCTGTTTACAGCCTCCCAAGTGCTGGGATTACAGGCACACACCACCATGCCCAGTCTCAATTGCCCTCTCAGCACATCCCGGGGATGGGGCTCAGCACAGCTGGGGACTGAACCTCCAGGCCCTGCACCTGCTTGCATGCACTTTAATCTGCCATACTTTTAAAAATAAATTCTATATAGCTTTCTTAATAATATTTCATGAGGAAAAAACTGAAAATGTCAATCATATTCACTATAATAGTACACAAAAATAGTATCATATCAGTGGCAACTTTTAAAAAAAGAGTGCCCTGATATGATACTATTTTTAGTATCATATACACAGGTTATTTTAGTAACCTGTGTCTACATGTGTTCACATTTCCAACAGGCAGTTCTCAGGGACCTGTACACGCTTCCATTGTATTAAAACTGTTCTAAAAGAGCACAAAACAATAATCTACACTAATTGCATATAATTGTTCATGGGTCATATAGATACCTGAGAAATAAACCTTTTAGATTTTATGCTTTCCAATTTTGCTCTTGAGCAGATCTCTAAATTTGCACACCGTTGTCCCACACTGCCAACTGGCTCTAGCCCTCCGTCTCCACCTACTAGCCTGCTATTTTTATGAGTTTCAATAGCCTGTTTTAAAGTGGTAGTTTCTTTAAGAAAATAATTACTATGTAAATTAGTCTTCAACAAATAGTAAGGCACATTTTAGAATTAAATGCCTAGGTACTGAAGCTTTTCTTCCTGATATATTTAAAACCATTATATAAGTGTAACCATTGCCATTCAATCTATGTACCTAGAAATATCATTCTTTCTGTTGCTAATGAAGGTCCTACGGCACAAATTTATTAAAGGTATACGTTTGCATGGGATAATAATTGGGTCGATAATATTAAATTCATAGGCTCATTATTTAATTGCAAGGGCAGATTATGAATACAGCTTCTAAAATGTATTTTAATGAAAAACACTACATCCTGACCTAATCATATCAACCTTATGCTATCTAATTAAGGATGCAAAAAATCATTAGAGTTGCAAAATATTAGTTCCAGCTCCATCAGGCTGTGAGCTGCCCCTTCATGAATATATATATTTTTTTACTCCATGATGAATAGTTAATGAGGTAAAAATGACAAAATTTGCATGTAGGCAAATTAGTTTAATAGAATGATGTCTTTTTTGACTACTGAAAGTGACCTTTTCTTTATCAAAAATGACTAAAAAAACTTGAAAATTATCATCTGGCTGTCTTTCCACAAATGACAAATTACACATATGAACAGTATAAAAATTATACAATACAATAATCCTAAATTCTCATCATACTGCAAATATGCCCTGTGCTTTTGCATTCATCAATTTAACAAAATGAAATTAAGCATATTATAAAGTATCCATTTATGGGACAATTTTTATTCCAGATCATAAAAATAAGCATGTGCTTAATAGCTAGTGCTAAGGCAAACATCTAGATCAAATTTTAAAAGCATGAAAAGCCTAGACTACTTAGTTGAAATACTTTTGTATCAAAATGTCTATTCCATTCAGTTTGGCGTTTTAGATTATAGATGATTGTTTTCAATTAAATTGGCATTATATCTTGAGATTAACACATCAATTATTTAATAGGGCTTCCTTGCTTCCTCTTTGAAATAAACTAAGTGAGCAAGTATGAAAGCATGAGAATATGAACATACAAAAAATAACCGGAAGATTTCTTGGTGCAAATTTCCAGGACATGGAGAGACATAAAAATAAATAAATAAATAAAATGTCTGTCTGTTTCAGTTTGAGGATGTTTGTGTAGGCCGAACATCCATAACCCAGAAATAAGACATACAGACGTTCTCTGGATTTTCCAATTATTTGGATAGACATCTCAATGACCTCCTTTGACTGATTGAGACTAAGTCTGCACTGGTTGTGAAGGAACAGGTAGTCACTTATACGAATAAATGTGCTTCTGTCAATAGTTAAATGCATTTAAGGCAAAAAATAAAATATCTAATGATTTTGATTAAATTGTTCATTTCAATTATATTTAATCAAACTGTCTTTTCTTTGATCCATTTGAAGGTACAGAGAAATATGACACTCAGGCTTTGAGGTCTCTTCCTGAGTCCAGTTCTTGCCTATCATGAAGTCAGTTGAATCATTTTACAAAGAAAAGCACAAATGTAACAGAAAAGAATTAATTAACTTCATAAACTGTCTCGATTTTCTTTATAACAACTAAGCATTATTTTTTCCTCTGTCTCTCTGTCTGTGTCTCTGTTTCTTTGTCTCTGTCTCTGTCACTGTCTCTCTCTCTCTGTCTCTCTCTTTGTCTGTCTGTAGGTGTTAAAAATCACTATAGGTACAATTTTTCAACCATTCATGCACATGTTCTTTTATGTATTGAACAAACAGGAGAGACAGGTCCTTTTTTTTTTTTTCATTTATGCATTTGGTACAGGGTCTCACTACACAGCTCAGACTCATAGTGATCCTCCTGCTTTCAGCCTTCCCAGGGCAGGGATTACAGGCATGCGCCCCTATGCGCTGACTTGGTCACCTGCTCAGCACACCCCGGGGGTGCAGCCAGTGCAGCACACTGGACCAGGGATCGAATCCTGGTCCCTGCACTTGCCAAAGCACATGCTTAGTCTGCTGAGCTATCTTGCTGGCCTGAGATTTAGAAGTCATTCTAACTCCACAAAGATATTTCAGTCTAAAAGAAAGAGACACATGAACAGGTAATTCTCAGACTGTGTTATTGCTGGAAAAATCAACTGAAACAGGAAGTTTTGACAAGGAAATGGATCCCGCTGGCTTGGCCCCACACAGAAGATTCTTGTGTTAAGTCCTGAAAAGTGACGTGGAGTATGCAGAGGAGGGAGGGATAGGGACACAGGAAAAGTGATAAAGATGCAGTAGAAAATCATTTTAAAATGCAGTTATCCTGTAGTAGGAATGTGGGGTTTTGCTCTCCAAGTGATGCAGTTATGGAAGGGGTTGTGACAAAGGAACGAGGGGTTACAGTGTCACGCTAGGAGTACCCCTGTGCAAGCAGATAAGCAGGAATTCACAGACTGAGAAGAGAGACTGCTTACCTGAGTCAAATGCTGCAGTCCTGGGTGTTCTCAGGAGAAATTGATTAGAGCCAAATAACATTAAGAGGGTAAATTCGATAGGGCTTTATGATCAAAGACAACTCTAGAAAACATGGAAATATATAGAAAAACTCTGATTTTGAGACTTTTCTGAGTCAAAGTGGATGAACACGTGTGTGTCCAGAGAATGCACAAGTGACTTCTTCATGAAGGTGATGTGTGTGTGTTCTTTAGCAATGTAGGTAAAGTAGGCCTTATCTGGACAACAGTGGACCTGTGGCACCTTTGGGTCACCCACGTGGACTCAGCAAGTTGAGCCGCTGGGCCCTGCAGTATGAGACTCAGAATGGATACCCAGCCTTCAGACACTCACCTGAGAGTCTTCAACACATGCAAGAGAATTTTAAAGGAGGTTAACAAAAAGCAAAGTGCAGAGTAAGAGGGAAAAGTCAGGTACAGAACCTTGAAAGGCGCTGATAGAGTAGAAGCAGTGGAGGATGCGGCTACCCCAAAAGAAATCTGTAAGGAAGATTACCAATGGGGGATGAGTATCAGGAACTGGATTGAAAGGGGCTCACAGGAGGAGCACAGCAGAAGATGCTTTTCCTTCCAGTGTTCACTACAGCTTACTGTAAGGCCAACATCCTCATCCTGTGAAGAAGTCCCACTACTAGCTTCTCCTATGCTCCTCAAAACCCTTGTGAACTTTGACCACATGTAAATGCACACACTATTAAATATTTCTTAGAAAAAATTGTGCTAATCTGTAAGAACTACCCAGTCTAGTTTCTTCATTTTGATTATCAAAACCAGTACAAAGCCAAATTGCAACATTTGCAAGCCGCTGGCACACACTACAACAAATAGCTTCGGGAGCGTTAGAACATACAACCTCTTGCTAAAATGGGAGCGCAGTGAATTTCTTTAGTACGCACAAGAAAGAAATCAGCTTTGGACTACCCACCTTCCTTCTTTCCCCATGGATTCCTCTCCACTGCTCTGATCTTTTCACTATGTAACTTAGTTCCTGGTTTGAAATCTCCAAATCGTACGGTAGGAAGAACTTGGCTTCTTCGCTATGGATGCGCTGAAAAGCATCCAGCAGCCAAGAGTCGCAGTCCAACCTAGAATACAACTGGCCGTTATTCCTTTTACTTTCCCCAAATACTGTTTTTCTCCTCAAAGTTTTCATATACATTTCCATCAATGTCTGTTTATTGAGCTCATTTTAATAGTCAGATAATTTCTTTATAACATGAATGGGAAATTAATAATAATCAGTCTTTCGTTAGATTTATATTTTTATCAACTTCTATGTGTTTAGCTCATTTTTCCCTTTCCTAGTAAAAGCTGATAAATTGACTTGATGATAATGCATCAAGGAACTTTTTAAAAATAAAACTACAGTGTAATAAATTGCTACTCCCTGTACTCCATGATGCTAGTTTGTTTGGCAAAACCCTAACCTGACAACAGCCATATAGGTGTTTTGCAGTTATTTCCTATAAATCTACTGATTCAGCTTTATTTAATTATGTTTTTTCATTTTATGTATGCGGTACAGGGTCTCACTACACGGCTCAGACTTCAAGTGATCCTCCTGTTTTCAGCCTCCCCATTGTTGGGATTACAGGCATGCGCCACCATGACCAGACTCAGTTGCTGGCTCAGCCCTCCCCAGGGGCGGGCGGGCCCTGGGTGGCATGCAGGGCTTAGTCTACTGACCTATCTCGCCAGCCCCTGATTCAGTTTTAGATGTCTAAATAAGACTAATAATTGACCAATTATTAGGGCTCTCAATTCTTAAACTAGTTCAAATGTGAGGAATTTGTCTAAAGAAAATTTGAACTTGGATTCATGCTTCCTGTGTGACTCAGTTTCAGGGCCCCATAGTAGGAACTCTGTTATCTCATCGATATGGCTATGTCACACTAAGATGAGCGCAATAGGTGCTAATTAGGTCAATACCTGCAAAGCTTTTCTATTAAGTGCTCCTATACTCGTAGAAGATGAAACGTCTATACCATCCTGAGTTCACTGCTATTTAGTCCCATTCATTGTGTTAGTCTAACCCTACCTTAATCCTGTACTTGTGTATTAATGCATACAATAAAAAATTGTCTTACTGCTCCTAGGTAACAGAGAAAACATCTGAACTCAAAGCTACCTCAAGTTTATTTCATTCTGAGTTGAGTCAAAACAGTACAAGTTAATAACTTCCTTGAGCTACAGTTTGATTCTTTGATTCTAAGCCACTAACATAGACCGTTTGAAACTCACCACCCCATGTCGTCGAGGTGTCATAAAGCCAGTCTGCATGCCACACAGTGAAAACGTTTTTGGTCTTGCCATCTATTGTATGGCCAGTGCCATCTTTCCATCTTCTCTTCTTTTTTTTTTTCCTGAGGAGACTGAACTGAGGACCCTGAGCATGACTGGCGAGCACTCTACACTGAGCTGGAGCCTCAAGGACAACTTCTGCTTCTACTGTGCATTGAGATTCTGGCTCTACCATTTGGGTGATTTACTAGTTAGCTTGTTAAACAAGAACTAGTCTTTGTCATTCTCTTAAGCTTGTTTAATGGAACATTCATCTTTTTCTTTTAATGGTAGCAAGATGTAATGTAGTTAAATTGCTGTCAATGTGCCACCATGAACATTTTCTATATGAAGATTTTAAGTGCAGGATTATCAACAGTGCAATTAAGTTTGAATTAATTAGAAATTACAGTCCTCTTTCCACCGGCTTCTGCTTCTTTTGCCCACAAAATGTCTCTCTTCTTTTTATTTCTCTTTCATTTTGTGTGAAAGAATAATTATGTAAACATTCAAACATCTACAGGATGGTAAACAAATGTTTTGACAAAGAACAAAATGGCCCATTGGAATACAGGAAGTTGTACAAAGATTAATTATGTTTTAGTTTTGTTTCAATCTTTTTTCTCTTGCCATTTTGGGTGGCATTTTCAAGGGAAAAACTCCATGATGTGTTCTTAACAAGCCAATTTACCAACCTTTACTAGTCTGTAGCCAATATTACAGCTCTATAAAGACAGTTTACACAGTGAGGAGGAAACATCCTATGCCCTTATGTATAAAAGAAAAATAAATAAATACATTGGACAATAATGATTATAGAACTTTTGATGATATGATTAGCCATGCAGCATAATGCAGATCCAAAAGCAAATTACTTTTTCCTTTTGGATATTGGGATATTTTATCATGTTTTATATCCTTGAATCTGTCCAATTTGTGGTTCTCTTCAGAATATTAAAGAATTCAACAAAATGTTAACTGAACTTTTAAAACAGTAAGCAACGTATAAACAGTTCTAATGCCATAACAAATTCTGTATTGGTGTTGTTGAAGACAGAGAGCAAACAACAATTTTCTGTATATATTCAACATTAGAATCACTCAATACAAATATAAATTTAAATTTTTCATGATTGTATTTATCCAGGAAAGTTCAGTGTTTTCAAGTGGGTCTGACATACTAAGATACATGTTCACACTTTTTCTGCTATTACATGTATGTTAAAAAATTGAATTATAAGGGCCAGTGAGATAGCTCAGAGGACTAAGTGCCTGCTTAGGCAAGCACAGGGACCAGGGCTCAATCGCCAGCACCACTTGCCGTGCCAGCCTCGCTCCCCCAGGCATGCTGAGCCAGACAGAGACTAGGCATGGTGGTGCATGCCCATAATCCCAGTGCTGAGGAGGCTGAAAACAGGAGGATCACTCCAAGTCTGAGCTGTATAGTGAGACCCTGTACCAAATATAAATAAAATAAAATAATTACATAAACTTGAAGGAATTTAATCATATTAGACAAAAGAAAAGAAAGAAAAAGGAAATGAAAAGTTTTTAACAATTTCTGACTCCAGGAAAAGGATGTGCAAATTCGTTGTATTACTGAAATTTTTGTAGGTTTGTCTTTTAAATCAAAATCTAACATTCTATGATATTCCATTGAAATATACATTTTGGTAGGATTCTATGTGTAAACTTGGATTTTATGCAACAATATAAGTATTTTACAGGTCTGAATATTTTGTATTTTTAAATTATTTCATCAAAATGTAATTAAAAAAGAAACTACATTCCACCTGTCCACAATGCCTTAGGCATTACTGTGTATAAAACAGGTCGCACATTATGCCACAGGTGCTGAGGATTGCCAGTGAAACAAAGTAATTTACCACGTCCTCTGCCCTGTGTCCTACATTTGCAGCAATTCATTGCTTGGTGAGTGGCAGAAGCTATTATGTTTGGTTCACATCTGAATGTGGGTCATTTACAGAAACCTAGTATGTGACATTTCTTTTAAAGCTAAAAAAGGACAAGTGTGAACATTTGGCTACTGCGCTATTTTTAAGGGTCATACTAAGGATGGTATCTATAACTTTAACTACCTCCAAATGCAAATATGTATATGAAAAAGAAAAATGAAATATAGCGGTTCATTTCCAACTCCAATAATGACAAGTGAGTTTGTCGGTGTGACTTTACACATTAATGGTGTGTGTGTTTCTGACATAAACGAAAAATCTCTCATTTGCTGGTTTAATTCCATTAGAATGGAGAGCTCAGAGCATGTGGCACACAGTCAAACTTCTTGTCACATCCTCATCGTCTGTTTGCTGAAATTCACTTTTATTTTCACAGTGTTGTAAACCACATGTTCTTTAGCAGAGCTGTCCAACACTTTCAAAGAGGTGTATGACATACAAGGACTGATATGTATGAAGATAGCTTTGGAGCTTTTCTAGAAAACCTGAAATATCCACCATTCCTTTTAGTAGTAATTGAAATTCACATGGCTTTTGTTTGGAATGATACTTCCTTGATGTGAACAGAAACATGGCGAGCAAAAAACAGAGAATGAAGAAAGAGTGTGTCAGTTACTTTTCTCTTTTTCCTGGGACAAAATACCCAACACTTTTCGGCAACGCTGAAACTGTAAGGACTTTGGAAACTCTTAGACTAAAATGCCTTTTGCACAAAGGGATGTACGTGAATCTTTGGGGCTCTAGGAATGGAAATGTTATGGTTTGTCTCCAGATACCCCCCTCCCCTAAAGCCTTATGTAGTCACTGGGCCAGTTTCTAGAGTTTGTGATTAATTCATAATCCAATCCTGGGATTATGGCTGTGAGTGCTGCTGGGATTATGCGTGTGAGTGTTACACCAAGCCTAGGGCAGATAGCCTGGATGCAATTTAAGTAAGGGAGAGATGCTTGTCCCCTGCCTCTGGCACGATTCTTGCCACTATACCTCCCTTTTGTTATTGCTGTTTTCTGTCACCATGAACTGCTGCCCTCTGCCGTGTGCCACTCTGCCTTGGAGCCAGCTGAGTATGGATTGAAACCTCCACTGACTGTAAGCTAAATAAACCTTCCCTTCCTTGATTTTTTGAGTGTTGCGTATTTTGTCCCAGCAATAAGAGAAAAGTAACTAAGACAAAGAGAAAGAAAATTTTTGAAAAAAGCAAAAAGAAATTCAGAAAATAAAAGCATGCACATAGTAGAAAATAATCAAAACTCCTATCTCTGTTCGTGTTCAGAGACGCTCCTACCATAGCTGGGTAATAGTGAGGTCAAGTTGCATGGTCTCAAGTTTTAAGGGGAAAAATCATTCTCTGCTTGGTCTTCATTGATTTGCTCATCCAGATAGCAAATATTCATTCACACTGATTACGTGCCACATCCTGGGAATATGGTAGATGGATGCTCAAGCAGAAGAGTTACGTAAGGTATGCACCTCAGGAAGGGGTTGGGGGCTGATGGTAAGGATGACACAGTGACAGGAGGTGCACAGAACATTACATCAACTCATGCCATGTGGATGGGACAGGCTCTGAGTTAAGACTACACGTAGGAAAAAAGGCAATAGTACATGAGCTCAAGACAAGATGTGATGCATGCATAATCTTTTAGCTTAAAAGTTATTCTGGTTACAGTGAGAGGAGCAGACTGAAATAAGCAAGAAGTAATGTAAGGCAGCATTTCGGATGGCTAATGAGAGAGTAAGCTGGGAGGCGGCTGGGCATGCTGGGCCAAGGAGGCTGCTTCACAATTAGAACTCAACAAACAAGCAGAGCACACATGGAACTGCGAGAG